TTGAATGAAAAACACCATTAAAGCGTGAACTGACATTATATCAAATGAAGAGCTGAGAATAGAAGAGAAAGCGGACTGAAAGACCCAGAGAAAGGAGCGTGACTAGGGGAGGAGGCAGGCAGGAAGGGAAGCTTCACCAACAGAGAGACTTAAGACTATGAGAGTAAGGTAATAACGGCTGTCATAGGACCTGTGCCAGCTTGCCAATGTTTTGGGAGACACCAGTAAGGAAAGAAATTCCTTACACATACCTATACACATATACCATACACACATACACACACACCACCACCACCACCACCACCACCACCACCATTTTTGTGGTTGAATGGAGCTGTGAATAATTTCTGTGGCCCAAGACATGAAAAGAATGATACGTTTCTCTTAAGACGTGGATGAGAGTCAAGATAAATTGGATCCTGACTGAAGGTCCATTGAGACCCTGCAGTCCAGTCCATCTGGGCTGATAGGACAAAATGTCATATACTGAGTAGAAATCTATGTCTTATGGTTCTTGTGAGTCACAACCAAGGTGCCAACAGATTTGGTGTCTAGTAAGAGCCCAGCTAGCCTGGTTCACAGATGGTACCTTCTTTCCTGTCCATGTGGAAGCGGCAAAGGTGCTCTCTCAGGCCTCTGATAAATGCACCAGCCCTCTACCCTCATGATCTCACCACCTTCCAAACATCCTACCTTCAAATGTCATGATATTGGAGGTTAGATTGCAAAGCATGGTTTTTGAGTTGACACCTTTATGCAGATCATACCATCTACCAAGGCACCGTTATCTATCTCATCAGAAGTCTGACGATTATCCCATAATCGTAGTATGTTTATCTGCTCCTCTTAGACACAACAGTAGCTAGAGGCATGGAGTGAAATGCCCAACAACCTAAGGCTTGCAAACAGAACAGTAGGGAAGAAAAAGCCTGGGTTTTCTAGCTGGGCACAGGAAAACCAGAAAGCCTTGGTAAGTGGGAAAAACTCTGGCTCGCAGGAATGTCGCCTGCTGAACTCTGTCCTGGGGCTGTCTGCGTTCATGCTGCATTGTGAAACTCCTGGTTTGCTTGGCATTTTCTTAGAATCTGGCTCCGTAGAAAAGCCATAGGGTCAATTTACTTGTGTGGCCCTAAATGACAATCACCAGATCTTCCTACGTCTATTGGTAATAGAAGCTAGCACAAAGGCATAAGCAACTTTTTATGAGCATCTCCAAAACAATGGTACTTTTCTTCTTTCCTTTACTTTTGTTGTTGGTGGTGGTGGTAGTCACGGGCTTGAACTCAGGGTCTAGGCCAGTGCTGTCCCTGAGCTTTTTCGCTCAAGGCTTGCACTCTACCACCTTGAGCCACAGCTCCACTTCAGGTTTTCTGGTGGTTTTATGAGAGATAAGAGTCCCACGGACTTTCCTTCCCCAGGCTAGCTTCAAACCTTGATCCTCAGATCTCAGCCTCCTCAGTAGCTAGGATTACAGGCGTGGGCCACTGGTGTCTGGCTCTCTTCACATTCTTAACACTTTTAATGTTCTTCCTCATCGCCTATCCCTTTTCTTTATCTACTACTCATTCCCAGGAATGTGGTTTTCTTCTCACTGAGTTTAACCTATAAGAAATATAATCAGGTATTTTTTTTCACATCAATTGTGGAGACATTTGGAGTTGAGCTGGAATCTAGTCATCCTTTCTTTTCCAGCTGAAGTGTCTAGTCATTTTGTTCACAGCCTTGACAAGTTTAAATTATATGTTTTAATTGTAAAGCATCCTGCTCTAATGTTTCTTTTATATTGACAATAGTGACATGACTACAGAGCAAGAGAGAATAATGGATAGCCAGAGTTGACTGCTGATCTCACCTGGGGAAGGTGACCACAATCTCCTGATTTCCTTATGGTTTTTTTCTTTTCCCTCTTTTTCACGAAGAAAAAGCAGTTTAAGTAAACTGAGGCACGAGACCCACAGTTGCTTCATGTAGATGACAACAACAGGACCTGTACTTCCCATTTCAGAGTTCATTCTGTGTTCTTTCAAAAGCAAAGCCAAGAGATAGACTTTGGAGAACGATTAACGTTTCCCCTTTCTCAAAGGCAAGGTCCACTGGCTGGCAACACTGGGAGCCTCCACTCCTTTGTTCCAACACCAACCTTTGACTTGTCATTTCTTCTGCTCTTTCAGCCCTGTCTGTCTACCTGGGCCAGTGTTAAGCCACAGAACAACAACGTACATTACTTGAGTTATTGGTAAAAGCCAGCTAGCAATTCTAGCATGCTTGTAATAAATCCTAAATTAATGACATATAAAGGAGTCTTAACAGATGCAGATGAAAACATTCACTCACACAGGTGTATACATACACACACACACACACACACACATACACAGAGTCATCTTTGTGAGTGATAAAAAAAATAATATATCTTTCTCTGCTGTTGCTTAATGGTAGAAACTGTCAAGGAAGACAGTGGCACCCAGTGGACAAATGCTTGATTGTTGGAGACAGATATCCGTTCCATTCTGAACTGTTCTAGCTAACATTCTTACGAAAGGTCACTTGTGTGCTTTCCCTATCTGTTTTTAAAACAGAGATTTAAATTTGAAAATAGGCCACATGCTGCTGCTTATTACACTTTTTTATCTCTTCAAGGGTAAGACTAGACTAAAAACTTGGAAAGAAAAAAAAAATCTCAGGGTTAAATCCTTTGAAACCTGGTTGATCTGTTTCAACAGTAGCAGAGGAGGCAGCCAAGTCTAATAAAATGCCCAACTTAATTAAAATTGCAATATTGAAAATGCCTGCAATGTGCTTTTCAACATCATATTTTCCTTTTGCTCAAATCATTGCCAACTTCTAATTAAATTCACTCGGTTATGCAAATCTGAAACTTCCAGAACTGTATTTTAGTACATTAAGACACAAAGCCCTTAAACACAATGTTATTGTGAACTTCATGTTGAAGTCGAGAAAATGTCCACTTTTTCTTTCCTTCATTTTTAGTGATTCTGTTGTCCTTGAGCTATTTTGTGAGAGCAGACCCTGTGTGTCCATCTTGCTACCCAAAGGTACAAAGAAGTTGAATGAAATCTGCTAAAAGTTGAACAAGTACATCTAATTGTCTGGGGTTATGGAAAAGGGCCGTACAGTTAAGGGTATTAAATATTAGGGGCTATTTGTATTTCATTTTTTAAAGGAATTTGACTTATTTGAATAAGAAATCATAGAAATCATTCAAGTATAAAAAATAAACCTATGTCTCAGCATAGGGAATGCTTACTTTAGTCAGTCATGCACAAATCCTTCCCAGATTGGAAGCTCTTAAATTCTTAGATGTCTGTATGTGTCTGTGGGGGGGGGGGGCGTGGGTGCTTTGAAATGGTGGCTAAAGTCCATCATCACTATTTTTAATATATATTTTTATTGTAAAGATACTGTACCGAGGGGTTACAGTTACATGAGGAAGGTAATGAGTCCATTTCCTATCAAGCATTGTTACTCCCTCCTTTGTATTGTCATTATTTTTTGTGAAATTCGTAATTCTGCCACAGATTGAGGTTTGCTTTTGTCTGGTTCAGAGAAAACAAACATAAAAATCAGTTGGCAGTCCTGAGCCATGACGCGGACCTGAGATGGAAACTTTCTTTAAAAAGCTACATACTTTTATTAATAGACAAACATCCCCTGGTGAGCCCTAGCGTCAGTCACATTCAGTGACAAACAATAAACACACCCTAAAGTTAAGGACACATGTATTTATTTTTTTGTAAATGGAAAGGAGAATGAATCCACTTCTTTGTGTCAGGCACAAAGAACAATCGGCATGTACTCCACTGCATGCAAACTGGAGCTCTTTTCTCACAATACAGTTCCTGCAGAAAAATCGTGTCAAACACTAATGGAAAATGGTATATGATATATGCAGGAGGGGGGGAGGAGTCCAATGTGCAACTCCTCTGAACAATATCTCACAGCCTCACAAAATGATTACCAAGAAGCTGGAATACACACTGTTACTGGGAGGGATGAAGATGCAGTGTACTTGAAGATGCTGACTTGAAACCCCTTTATACTACTACTTAAAGAAAATGGAAAAATATTCTAAGGAGTGCAGACACTATTTTCTCAACAGTCTATACCAGTCCATGGGAAATTAATAAGCATTCTGCTATACTGAGGTCTACTCTTTCCTGTTCTCTCCACTGACTTTCACTAAGAGTGAGCCTTGGTAGGTGGCCCTGGGCCCTGGGCTGGAATCCAGCTTGGAGAAGCAGGTGTGGGGTGGGGGTAATGACATATAGTTCACTACTAATGTCATTGGGAAATGGCTCAGCTCCCCCATCTGGACTTTTCTGCTAGCTATAGCCGCCATGTCTGAGGTCAGCGATCTGCGGCCCATGAAGGGCACCGGCCGCTCTGACAGTGCCCAGGCTGATGACCCAAGCCAAGCTCCACTCTGTGACCTGCTAGGCTTCCGAGAGTCTTCAGACTCCAAGAAGGAAGTCAATGTTTGAGAATCACTCTTCCAAGTAAGCTGTCTTCAGATAGCTTACCAAAATTATTCTATGTCATTCCTATGTGTCTTGGGCTTGTTTCTTTATAAATGCTGATACGCCTTTCTTAGGAAAACCATGCACTGTAATCAGGATTACATGGTTTGTGGAGAATGACCAAAATAATAATGATAACAATAATCAAAGAAGATGTAAATGTGGAAAAAAAGTTTAAGGCTGAAAAGTTCCATATAGACTACAGTAAGTCCTGTTAGGTTTACAAGGATGGTTATATGTGCACATGTGTGTGTGCATACATGTGTGTATATGTGTGCATGCTCCTGTATGGTGTATGCTTAAGCATGTGAGCATAACATGTATATAAGGGAAGTGTGTGTGTGTGTGTGTGTGTCCAAGTACATGTGGAAGCCCCCAAGACAGAGGTTAAAATATGTCAGAGATTCACTTTCCATCCTGTGACTGAAGAACCTATACATCCAGTCCCTGTGCAGGTTTTACCTGTTCGGTTAAAGCTTTCGCCTTTTCTTCTGCTTCCTTCAGGCAAATCTCCAAGTACTTGAGTTGGGCCGAAGTCAAAGTCATCTGCCCAGTGTCCAACGACTCTTTCTTTAAAACAATAACCAACATTACTTTCAATTAGTTTCCTGAGCACATTTTGAACAACTTTATGAACTGAGGAGCGGCTTAATTCATAGGATCACATTAATCCTTCTTTTTCTAAACAGTAATAACAGAGAATTAAAACTAACCATCGATCTTAGTTGACAATTCAGTGTGTTGGACTAGAAGGTGAAAATTGAATGGCGAAAAGAAATCGCTTTCAGAAAGCTCCTTTGAGTCCTTGTAGAATCTGATTCATGGACAACTCTTGTTCAAGTCACAAGTTAAGGCTCAAAGTTTCTCCCTAGTGGAAGGGGTCACCTAAATCACTGCATGGTGAACACCCACCTATCAGGAAAGACTTCTGAGAAAGACATCCCTGGGTCCCTCTTACCTTCACCCTCTTATCAAAAGTGTTCCAAAGACAAGGCATGGCTGGGTAAGAGTCTTGGATCATTCTTCCCCAGAGATCAGCCCATGTAACTCAGATGTAACACATGTAATACATACTGCCTCTCAACATTTTTCTAAGGTTGCTTTTCTTGTGCTACAAGCAGATGGTGCCACACTGGTATAGAAATCATTACAGGTTCTGTAGAGAATCAAATCACTTCCTAACTGTTTAGTGGCTAATGTGACGACTACAGAGCAGCATGAAAACATGAAAAGAGAACGCTCCTCTGTACTAACATTCTGACCTCACAGCCTCTCTGGGTCTGTCCTGCTTGCTTGCGAAAATTCCCCCTGTCCCAGCTGCCTGTGATGAACCCCATCAAGAAGGAACTCTGTTTCTAAAGGTCTAAGGGCTGTTCTGTTTTTCCCTTTGGTTACGCCATTACCCTTACACGTGTGCACTTCCTGGTGATACAATGGAGCCATCTGCTGGTAAGTGGGGCCAACCATAGAGAGAAAACAGTCGCTCAGTTCTTAACAATTGTTTACGGTGAATGCTGAGCTGTGGGTCTCTGCTACTTACTGGCCTCTCAAGAAAATGAACTTCCACTGGGTGAAGCCAATTTATGATGCTCACAACCGACCTGTCCCTAAGCCAAAGTCTGTCGCATCCAGCGGCAGAAGCACCCTCATAAGTTTGCCATTAGCTGCTGTTTGAAGAAAGCTTGCACCTCCCGCTGCTGGTCCTTCCTTCCCAGCCTGCCTGGTCAGTCTTGAGCCTCCAGGCCGGCAGCCATTACTAAACACCCCAGATTGGTCCTCTCACGGATTTCATTACCAGAAGGACAGGGATGAGGCTGGACGGGCCAATCGGTGGGCTGCCCCAGCCTATAGCTTATCTTGTGCTTTATAGCGACTTTCCCCAGCCTGTAACCTCTTAGCATTTCTTTGATATGGTCTTAGAAAAATGCTGACCTGGTCTGACTTGATAAACTTCTTAATGAACTTATCTTAATCCCCCCCCGTCCTCCCCCCAAAACGTTGTCATAGGGGTGCATCTTGGGACTGGACTGGTGATACTAGGGGCAATGTGAACCAAGGGTTCTCTCCATCCCAGGATGATTTTAGTAGTTACAAGACACTATGTTGAAAAACGAACTTTACAATTTCGGCTGGGGGCGAGGAGGGTGGTGTAGTTGTGGAGGGGGGAGGGAAGGGATGGTAGGGGAAAAACAGAGGAGGAGGCAACAATGCTTGCTCATGTAACTGTAACCCCTCTGTACAGTATTTTTTACAATAAAAAAAGTATTAAAATACAAAAAAGAGTAGGTATTATGCCACACCACATGTCTGTAATCCCAGCACTCAGGAGGTTGAAGTAGGAGGTTGAAGTAAGTGCAGAGCCAACCCAGGTTTCAGAGAATGAGTTTTCCAGCCTGATCTGGACTCAAAAAGGAAAATAAAAATTAAATAAAAGAGTAAGTCCATAAAACAAGCCTCAAAGCAAACATTTTGTCTATTTATACTTGGACATACTTGCATACTCCGAGACATTTGGAAAGAGGGTATTGTCAAGAGGTCAAACTATTCCCTTGGCATTAGGAATACCTGATGTTATTTCCAGGCAGACTCTGATATTTGATCTCAAGAGGCTATTGAAAAAAAAATCTGTGAACAAGCTCAGCAACACATCCACTAATCCATTAATTTATGCCCTTTCCTCTAAATACCCTGAAATTCACTGGCCAAGAGCGGCCATTTCCAGGAAGATAAAGGCACTGTAAAGTCAAAGCCAGATGAAACAAGTTATTAAGCAAACCTGGGATATTTTGTACAGAAAAAACACGGGAAAATGTCAAGTGTTGCAGAACGAGGAGATACCTAAACCAGCTGTGAGGAATGAGAAGTCTAAGCCAGCTGTGAGGAATGAGAAGTCTAAGCCAGCTGTGAGGAATGCGAAGCCTACCTTCTATACCTTCACTCTACTACAACCTATACCTTTCATTCCTTAAAGCGGTCACACCTGCACCCACATTTGCCTCTGCCTCCCCTGCTCCCTTAAGAGAATCGGTTTATGCAAAGACAAGCACGTTGTAGGAGCAAGAACTTTCCTCCAAAGATTGAAAATAGAACTACTACATGATCCTGATATGACACTTTTGGGAACATAACCAAAGAAATGTAAATCAGCATACAACAGAGAACCCTGTGCATCTATGCTTATGGTAGCTGGATCCATAATAATCAAGATACAAATTCTACCGAAGTGCCCATCAATAGACGAAAGAATAAAGAAAATGTGAACTATTACTCAGCTATTAAAAAAAAAAAAGGATGAAATGATGCCATTTGGAGGAGAGAAAATGGATGGAACTGGAGATCATCATGCTAAGTGAAAGAAGCCAGTCACATTGACAAGTATGGTATGTTCTCATTTATATGTGGAATCTCAAGGGATAAAAGTACGTGAAAGTAAAGAAGGGGTATAAGGATGTGGAGAAAAGAAGGAGCGGAGGCAAGAAAGGCAATTGAAGGGGGAGTGAATATGACCAAAGCACATTAAAGCATGAAGAGAAATAGCCATATATGTGTATCTTAGCTATCAACAGATCTAATTTATCAGCCTGTCTATTATATATACATATCTATTTGGGGATTAAACATGCACATGGATTTCCACACGATAAATTCCAGGAATTCAATAATTCATTTTTATTTATATCCACTTTTTGGTCTTTAACATTTTCTACTTAAATGTCAAGACAGAAATTGAAATATCTCTAGCTAAGATGATCAAATTAAAATAATAGTAAATAATATTAAACCCTAAGTAAACTCCTTGACTATAGTAGAAACGCTAGACTGTTCCACAAATGCACACTAGGGGTTATGGGGCTCTGGACTACACAAACTTGATATAAGACTGTAAGAGTAAATTTCCTTTGGGTCGCAGAGGTTTCTCACTTGGGAAATCAGAGGAAAATATACTTTCCCTGGCTCTTTTTTTCTTGATTTCTCTAAGCTAACCCAGTGTCATCTTCTTATTCCATCCCTTGTTCTTGCATCTTTATTACTCTTTCTCATGATGACCTTGCTCTCCAAGCTTAGCCATGCAAACTTCCCCTGTCCTTGAGAATTGGTGCATGGTCTCTGATGGGCCATATGTATAATGGCCAGACAGGGCTTGTGGGAGCCTTTTACAGGAACCCAATATGTAACTGTTGATTGACCAGTGGTTCGGCAGCCAAGCAGGGGATCGCACCAGAGGGACAAGTCCTTCATGCTCAGAGGCCGAAACAGAGGCTTCATTGGGCAATACTTTTCAGGCTTTGGGCCTGGGACCCTGGCAGGGAACAGAGCCCCAGGGAAGTCCTGCCTGCCGGGGCAGTCTCTGCCTGCAGAGAGCAGGATCAAGGCCAAAGTCAGGTGGTGGAAAAGCTAATCATCAGTCAAGTAATACAGGTAAATGCTTCAACAGCTGAAGTTTTCTTATGAGTGCTGATATGTTGATAATGTGTTAACTCATATACACACATACACACATGTGTGAATTGAGATAATTAAATTTAATTATAATTATGTGTGTGTACATAGTGCCTTTATTTAGAAGCCAGATTGCTAGGTAAAAATGTAGACACAACAAATTCTACCTTTGTAGAAGAGCATTTGAAAAATTACTTTTTTTTCATTTGAAACCAGGACTCTAACTTGGTATCTGACACTTTTTTGCTCACTGGCTGGTGCTCTACTACCTGAGTCATACTTCCAACCCCATTGGTGACTTTTGAAGAATTAAATGTCCTGAAAAGGTCTGAGTTTGCTGGACATGCTTGGACCCCTGCTCAGAGAGGTGTAGTAAGTTCCTGCAAATAAAGCATGCTTGCAACACAGTTTGCAATGGCTGCACTTCCTGTTTGCTCTCTCCCTCTGTAAACAACTGCTGTCCATTCCTATTTGCCCCTGCTTGACAGGCACCTACGGACCTACACTTGTTACCCTTCTTCTACTGTCTGATTATGCTTCTCACTCAGATACAAGCCTTTACTCTCAACCAGTTATACCAGGCACATTTATGTCATCAGAATTCAAGGCATCATGGGAATTTCACCACTCTCTTGTTTTTAGCTTTTACAGACAAAAGTGGAAATTGTTCTTGTGTTGGGGATTTCTTTCATAGCCATCCAAGAAGAGGTTTAAGTTAGAATGTGAACGAACTGCACTAAGAAGCAGTGGTAGAAAGTGTCCTTCAACATGCCCCAGAGGGTGACAGCGGTGGGAGGGGTCAGCAGCAAGCACAGCACTCGGCCAGTCCCCTGGAGAGCTGCATTCAGAATCTGACTGTGTATAACTCAGAGCCCAGCACTCCCCTGGCCCCGGCCTGAGTGTTTTCATCTTTGGATAAGGAATGTGTTTTTCAATGGAAACAGGTGGCTGTTCACAGGAGGGACTGAGAAAAGCTGCAGGAAGGGACTTCTTACACAGAGGGGGATGGTGTAGCCTGACCAGAGGCAGGAGAAGAGAGGGGAGGTTGGTCTCAGGGGAGAATCTAGGAAAGGCCCAGGGAGAGGAATCTAGCCACTGCTGCGAATGCTCAGCAGCCTGGCCATCTCTTCTCTCATCCCTGCTCTCCGCCACTCTCCCTTGGGATGAAGCTGAAGAGAAGCCTGAGGTTTCCTTGAACAGAGCAGAATGGATGAAGGGTAAAGGGTGGTTGGGGGACATAACAAAGTGGGTGGGACCCAAGAAAACTTCAGCAAAAGGGGATTTCATTTCACTAGCGGTGCCCAGTGCCAGCTTAGACCATGAGGCTGGTTTGCGAATACACTTTCGCCAGTCAGCAACTGAAGGACAAAGGCAAGATGTCAAAAATAGTATTACGATGTTTTTCATGAAGCCAGATGTATCCCACTGAAAAGACCATCCTTTATTCTAAAATTATAACTAATGTAAGATTTTGGTGTTAAGAGGATGATTTTTAATGAATTATGGTGATGCTGAGTGGAGACTTGTGTTTCAATGTCTCCCTCCTCTCTTCTTGGAGATACTGAGTTAGAACTCAGGGTTTCATGCTTGCTAGGCAGGTAC